ACATACATCGAGTACTCGCATCACAAACATCGTCACGCACTCACCTTATCCAAGTGCCATTCGTGTGTCTCCAGCACCCATAGGCCACGACCAACTGTGCCACCAGCTTATTAGAACTGGACAATTCTCGTGATTCCTAGCCTGGAGTCCGGATTCAGTAGTAGGGGATCGATTATGATTCCTAGTGGGCATGTGGGGTCGGTGGACTTGTGGAGGAGCCAGGCTGCCTGGTGGATGCAAGTGTTGGCGTAAGAAGGGGAGATCTGGTGCCACCTGGCCAGACTCGGAAACGTGTCGGCGATGCCGATATAATTCGTTTCGGTGGCGATTTTGGTTTATATCGGGCCGACTGTTAACGGCTGCGTCTGCCAGCGCAGCTGAGACAGCACAACCCCATTTTGAGAGGTTCAAGTCCTGTGCACCCTCAGATGTTTGTCACGTTACAGGGCACTGCATTTAAAATGTGAGTTGTGCGGGACGCCTGTGTCGACGTTAACGGCGCGTCCATCTTTCCGTCGCAGGCTACGGCTTCGTCGAATTCCTCGGCGAAGAAGATGCCGACTACGCGATTAAAATCATGAACATGATCAAGTTGTACGGCAAGCCGATCCGCGTCAACAAAGCGTCGGCCCACAACAAGAACCTCGACGTGGGCGCCAACATCTTCATCGGGAACCTGGACACGGAGATCGACGAGAAGCTGCTGTACGACACGTTCAGCGCGTTCGGCGTCATCCTGCAGACCCCCAAGACGATGCGCGACCCTGAAACGGGCAACTCGAAGGGCTACGCCTTCATCAACTTCGCGAGCTTCGAGGCCTCCGACGCCGCCATCGAGGCCATGAACGGGCAGTACCTGTGCAACCGGCCCATCTCCGTCTCGTACGCGTTCAAGAAGGACTCGAAGGGCGAGCGCCATGGCTCGGCCGCCGAGCGCCTGCTCGCTGCGCAGAACCCGCTCTCGCAGGCGGACCGCCCCCACCAGCTGTTCGCCGACGCGCCGCCACCCCCGCAGGCCCCCTCCGTGCCCGTTTCTGGGATGCCCATGCCGCCGCCCGGTGAGAGCGGGCCGTTGCTCGTGCCGTGCGGATGCCAAACGTGTGCGCGTGTGGATGTGCGCGTGTGTGTGTGGGGAGCGGTAGTGGGGCGGTTAGCGCGCTGCACTACGAAGCTGGCGACACAAGTTCGAATCCTGCCCACGGCCAACACCACCGACGATTATCTGAACCGGTCCTGGGCCTCTTCTAGGTCAACTCAGCCTCAAAAGAGTACCTGGTGCAATGTGTTAACATCGGCACTAGGGAGACAAAGGCGGCCAGGTGTAGTGTTGGCCACCCAGCCCCTCGTGTGCTGCGCCGGCCTTCGTAGGTGCTCGCTAACAGCACTTGCCCCAACAGTCTGTTTAGGCTACACGGGGAATTTTTGTCTGTGTGAGCACATTTGGTTGTTGGTGAGTTTGCAGCTCGTGCTGCTGCTGCTGGCGGTGCTTTCCACGCCACCTCCTTCGTCAGCCGTTGCTGCCCTTAATAAGTGCTGGACAACAGCTCTTGCCTGAAGAGTGCGTGTGTGTCGCTTACCCAGGGAATCTGTGCGTGTGCAGCATACTGTGTGATGGTCAGTGCGTGTGTGTGGTTCATTCTGTGTCACTGTGTGTATATGTTACTGTGTGTATGAGACACTGTGTATGTGAGATGGTGGTAATGAGTAACACTTCATGTCTGATTGTGCATTCGAGGGACACTATGCTACCGGACAGTTTGAGGCAGTCGCCCTCTAACAAAAACGGGAGGGCGAAGGAACATGTATTTATTTATTTTTAACTTATTTTACACCGTGCATAGCCGACCGTGCTAATCGGAGGTGTGAGCGACGCTCGCAACAATGAGCAATGCGTCAGGTGGCTACAACAGAGCACGATGGCACTGTGGGGAGCACAAGCGGTGCATCTGTCAAAGTGCACATAGGCTGGGAAATCGCTGTGAAGTCAAAACCACTTAGTGGCGAATGGCAGCTGTGTTTGTGTGTGTGCGCATATTTACATATAGATGAGAGACCATGTGTGTGTGCGTGCCTACGAGAGATGCTTGCACGCGCGTTCTACGTGGCCTGGACTCTGCCGTCGCAGGAATGTCTATGATGGGAGGGCTTCCCCCGCCGGCTCCGATGCCCGGCTCTCTGCCTCCCGGGATGACGATGTCGGGCGCCATGATGTCTCACGGCATGTCCGCCAGCAGCTCGGCGGGGCCCTCGCCCAGCCCCGGCCACCCGCACTCCTCGGGCCCGCCGCCCGTGCCGCCTCCCTTCCCTCCCGTCATGCCCCACCCAGGTAACCGAACCAGCACGAGGGAGTTGTGCAGCGGGTGATGTGTCATGCGATGGGTGAGGTGATGTGTCATGCGATGGGTGAGGTGATGTGTCATGCGATGGGTGAGGTGATGTGTCATGCGATGGGTGAGGTGATGTGTCATGCGATGGGTCAGGTGATGTGTCATGCGATGGGTCAGGTGATGTCATGCGATGGTTGAGGTGATGTGTCATGCGATTGGTGAGGTGACGGGTGATGATATTGGTGAGATGGGTTATGTGATTGTTGAAGTGATCGGTCATGCAATTATTGTGGTGGTGGGTGATGTGACGGGTGAGGTTGTGGGTCATACGGCGGGTGAAGTAATAGATCCGGTGGTTTCCGTCTGTAATCGTTGTCATCATGTCTTTAGTCTTTGCTTGTAGACTGATTGTTGTCTCAGTGCTGTATCTGTGGTCTCTTCTGATGGTCGCCTCTGCTGCCGCGTCTTGCTGTAGGAATGCACCCGATGGGGGTGATGCCGCCCCACAGCATGGGCATGGTGCCCCCTCCCCCGGCTCCGCCCGTGTCGGTTGGGGGTCAGGGCCCCCCATCCCGGCCCCCATCTCACTCGATGCCCCACGGCCCCCCTCCTCCACACATGGGCATGCCGCATCGTGGGCCCCCCTTTGGCCCCCCAATGGGTATGTATGGTGGACCGCGTGCCGTTTATGACAAACTGCACAAGTCAGTGCCGCGTTCACCTGCGTCTCGGTCGTCGCACGTCTCCCGTATCACACGCGCCACCGTGTCTCTCGCCGCGTCGGCCTTCTAACCCCTTGCATCGTCTGTGTTTGTGCCCCCAGGCCCCGCTCCTCCGAACATGAGGGGCCCCCCCCCACCACATGCCGCCCATGGGATACGGAGCCCCCCCACGGCCGCCTCCCTTCGGCTTCCCTCGTGGGCCCCCACCGCCTCCCCCGCGCGGGATGCGGCCCCCTCCTCCGCAGGTCCAGATGCGGGGACCCCCTCTCCTCCCGCAGTAAAACGTCTCCCCGCCAACCAGTTTCTTATGCCCCCTTTTTTGCACCGTCACATCCGGGCCGTGCTGACGAGGGACCCGCACAGTACGGGTGGTTTTCCACTGAGCTGGACCAAACTCGGAAAACTCTGGCCCCGGGGGCCAAGCGGGGTCAGAGCCGGGGTTTAAGTGCACGCTTCAGGAAATGCGAAATATTTAGTCATGCATTGGCATGCACGTGCGTCTTGGCTCATTGTGACGTCGTCGTCAGCACAGCTCGGGTTCTGCAGTGGAGAAACAACCTCGCGCTAGGCTGGATCGCACGTGCGGTGGGGAAAAAAGAGGCATTAGATTACTACTGCTGCCCATCCACAGAGCTAGAGAATCTTGAGGGAGTTCTCCGCTCTGGGAAGTCAAGTCGGGGGCAACACCGTCTCTGTTTTCTGTCGTCATAGCCGAAGGTCGCGTCTCGGGAGTGATTTTAATAAACACAGATCTTTGTAACATTGCACTGTTCCGTTTGCTGGTAATGTGGCTACGATCAAGGTTAATATGCCAGCATGGTTAAAGCTGCAGATGCCACCACACCTTGCTACCAACATTTTCTACCTTCCAGATTCGAAGCTGCGTGCACATTTAACATGCAACCTATAAGATCTGACCTCAAAGTATCCTAATATCATCAGCTCTTCAGTTTTGTTCTTGGTCACGCCAGACACGTGGAGACCATGGTCCTGCACCATCCTGCACGCATGTCCACGGTGCCTTTACCAGGCAAGGTGAATTGAGGCTCCACGAGCGGTTCAAGACCCGAGCCTCTTTCCAATATTAAGCCGGCGGGCTCCCATTGGCTCCACCGCCGCCTGATCACGTGGAACAAAGAGGGCAGCGTTTATTATGGTCAGACCCCTTGGCCATACCACAGCCTAGCACCACACAGCACTGCACCACACAGCCCTGCAGCACATAGCCCTGCACCCACACAGCCCAGCACCACACAGCCCTGCAACAGCACACAGCCGTACAGCAGAGCAGCGCACAACCCTGCAGCACACAATCTGCAGGAGCAGCAGCTCCAGGAGAAGCAGCAGATCCAGAAACATGATCAACAGCTCGAGGAGCAGCAGCAGCTGGAGCAGAATGAGCTCAATGAGTTCGATGAGAACTGGGTTCCCATCTTTCCCAAACACCAATCCCAGACCCATTTGTCGTCCACCACGGTCCTAAAAGATGGGTGCAGTATCACGTGAGGAAGTTGATCACAATCTCACAGCAGTGATGGCTCCACAGACAGATGTAGGGACTCCATTGGTGTCGCGCCATCTCCTGGCCACCTCAAACGTGTCTCTTGGTTGTCCTTGCCACGCACCTCCGATTGGCGGGGTTGGCTACGTAGGGTGCGAAAGAAGTTCAACAGACCGTACCTTCTGGCCACCACTCAGTACTCTTAGGTCTTTTCGGTAAAGTCATGTAGGCAAAAAATAAATAATAATAAAAATATAAGAAATAAAATAATAAATCACGACGTTTAGGAGGCAACACAAGCTTCCGTCTTCAGGTGGAAGTCAGCACAATTGCTGTATCTGTTCTATCGGTAAAGTCACCTACGTGACTTTACCGACAAGACCTAAGAGTATGAATCCTTGCAGTCACGAAAGCTTCAAATCTAGAATCACCACTCAGTACTCAACTGGACACAAAGCAATTTGCTTTATTTAAGGACAATAATTTGCATACATTGAACATTAAGAAAAATGGTCATGTACCTCATTGCATTTATTCCATTATTCATTGATTAATAAGCTAACAACACGCAAAAAACTGACACGCATCCATGTTCATGGAATTTATAAACATGCCAGAAAGGTGAATTCACTTTGTGCGTGTAGTTTGCCGTGTAAATCGAGGGGTGTGCTGTGTGTCTGCGCATTGGGAGCTGGTGGGCGTGTGAGTGGTGTCATGTAAATAGTGTGGGGAGGTAGTGTAGCAGTTCATGCTCCAAACACGACGATTCATTGAACTAGTCCTGGGCCTCCCCTGGGTCGACTCGGCCTCAAATAATTACCCGAAGTGCGTAATCATCGCCACTTGGGAGACAAAGGCGGTTGGGCGTGGTGCTGGCCACCCACCCCCTCGTGTGCCGTGCCGGTCTTCATTACTGTTCGCTAACAGCACTTTCCCCAAGTCTGTTGAGGCTATAAGGGAATCTGCCTTTGTATTGCGTGTTCCATTAATCAACGTGTGAATGTAGTGTCATGCGTGTTGTGTACATATACAGAAAGCAGTCCAGCAAATAGGTTGAGTGATCTCCATGCCTGTGTAGGTTTTCTCTGGGCATTGTTTTCTCCCCCACAACAAACACATGAGCTGTTATCGAGGAATTGGCAAAAAAACTGTCCTGAAAATAAATCTTTAAAATGTAACATTGGACTTCCTGAGTAAAGCTTTCAAGTTACTCAATTGGTGGAATCTGTGACCAGTGCCTCTGATGCCGCCACACCTTTTTCCTCGTCCAAAGTCCCCCAGACCCCACAACTCCGGAGTTGGCGATTGCTGCTGGGCCACTTCTCTCGTGCTCCCGATGGCAGCTTGGTAGTCGACTACGCGCCCTGAGTGATGGCGCTGGTAGCAGTGTTGCTGCAGCTGCCGCTGGTAGTAGTGTTGCTGCAGATAGCATTGCTGCTGCAGCTGCCGCTGGTCATTGTTTATGCTGCTGTTGCCATTGTTCATACGGACATTACTGCAGCTGCTGTTGCAATTGCGGCATTCTGCTGCGGCCGTTACCGCTGCTGCTGCTGCTGCCTCAGAGGGACGTCCACCACCATGAGGTCCTCGGCCAGCGTGACCTGGCACCGGGCTCCGTCTCCGGCGAGCGCTATCCGCGCCTCGGCCTGCTCGCGCAGCCGCGCCGCCTCAGGCCCGCCGGGCCGGTAGCGCTGGCTGAGGTGCGTGAGCAGCAGGCGGTGGGCGCCGCACGCCAGCGCCGTGGCGGCGGCGCCCGACGGGGTGGAGTGGCCGCGAAGGCGGGCCTTCTCCTGCAGCCCGTCCTCCAGCGTCGCCTCGTGCACCAGCAGGTCGGCGCCCTGCACCCGCCACAGAAGGGAAAGATTCGTGGGGCGCCACGGTGGCTAGGAGATGTTAACTAGCTCGCCTGGTATGCAGGAGGTCGTGGGTTCGATCTCCACCCTGAAGCCTGTATATTTGGAGTTTGTGTGTCTCTCTTCCCGTGGTCGCGTGGATTTTTATCTGGGTCCTCCGTTTTTTCCATCCAAATGTAGAATCAAAATGCATTCAGAGTATTTGGCTTTTATAATTTTCCACGTAATTAGCAACTTCGTTAAGCTTCCATTTGTGGCCATGTCACTTCTGAAAAAGAGCTGTATAGCTCAGTGGGCCTCACCTGGTAAAATATAAATAGTTTTTAGTTTATTGCCCATAATAAAAACACGTGGGTTAGATCGCGTCAATATGAATGCATCGTTAAACCTGCCACCACCCGACACAACCAGTTACAAAACATGCCAATTAGTTACTAGTGTTGTAGAGTAGATCCACAACATTTACAATTCAAGATTCTCCCCTCAACAGACTGTTGGTGCAAGTGCTGTTAGCGAGCACCTATTAAGCCCGGCGAGGCACGCGATGGGACGGGTGGCCCGAACCACGCCTGGTCACCTTTATCTCCCCTGTGGGGATGATTACGCATCGCACCAGGTACTGTTTGAGTCGACCTAGGGGAGACCCAGCACTGGTTTAGATCATTAATCATCAATGGTGTTGGCCGTGGTCGGGAATCCAACGCGGGCACCGGTTGTGTAGCACGGTCTACGAACCGCTGCGCCGCCGCTCCCCACATGCGCACACTAAAGAGGCAGAGAGGAGTGGGTGCGAGTGTAGCGTTTAGCGTTGGAGAGTGGTGACGCAGTGGTTTGCACACTGCGCCGGTGAAACGAGATCGATTCCCTAACATCAGTGGCTGGTATCTAAACTGCTCCCGAGTCTGCGAGGTACCTGGTGTAGTGTAGTGTGTATAAACACCATCCCTCCGTAGGCGCGGTGCCGGCCACACCACCCCACAACACTTGGCAGGACCTTCCTGAACGAGTCTTGAGACTCAAGCGAGGCTTTCCTGGTTAAACAAGCGACTCTCAACAACAACAAGAGCCGCGCTTGTTGTTGTTGTTGTCCGCGTGGTTGCGGGGAGCGCCGCGCACCTGGCACAGCCTCAGAGCGGCGGGGCCCAGCGGCTCCGAGCAGTCGCCGAACACGGCGACCAAGCGGCCGGGCACGGGGGGGTCCGCCACCTCTCCCGGCAGCAGCACCCTCCCGCTCGGCAGCGTCACAGCCTCGCCCGCCTTCAGGCGGCCGTACAGGGGCCCTGGCGGCACACCTGAGGGGAAGGGGGAGGCACACCGCGTCACGAGGGGCCACGGGCCTCCTCCGTCAACACCGTCACCCGCCGCCCGTCCTCACCCGCCAACCTCAACCACGAACCTCACTCGCCAACCTCACCCTCACTCACCATCCACACCCACCAACCCCACGCGCCAACCTCACCCTCACTCACCATAACTCGCTACCCAACCAATACCAATGAAGCGACGGTGACATCACCACGGTGCCTGTGCCAGGCCAGGTGCACTTTGAGGCCACCAAACCTCAACCGCCACCACCCTCAATCAAGAGAAGCCCAGGCCCGGTGCCGAGGACCCACGATGCCCCCCCCCGCCTGCCCCCCCCCCCGCCTGCCCCCCCACCCCGCCTGCCCCCCCCCCCTCCCCCCGCCACCCCCCCTCACCGAGCCCGCGCAGCACCTCCACGTGGAGTCGCCCGGCCCTGGGGGGCTCCCTGACGGCGTAGCCGAAGCTCGGCACGCAGTGGCGCAGCGGGAAGGCTCGCACGGAGGGGGCACCGGGGCCCCCCTCCAGCACGAGGAACCCCTCCTCCTGGGGGGGGCCCTCCGTGATCTCTCGGCCGGGCTCCTCCTGGGGGTGCGGGGCCCCCTCTGCCTGCAACGCACAAAGACGCCCCCCTCAATCCTCAACAGGCCGCTGGGGCGAGCGCTGCTAGCGGGCAGCAGCCGTGAAGGCCGGCACTGTGGCACACGAGGGGGTGGGTGGCCAGCACCACGGCCGGCCGCCTTTGTCTCCCAGTGGCGATGTTCACACACCGCAATGGGTTCTTATTCATTTCAGGCCGAGTTGAGATGATCGGGACTGGCGTTGGCCGTGAGCGGGAATCGAACTCGGGTCGCCGAGTTCGATTGCACCACACGGTCACTCCTCACACACACAGGTACACATGCAGAAGCCTTGTATGAACGCAAGCTGCATAATTTAATTATATTACACTTCTGCGAGATAATGAGCGTACAACTTACACTTAACTTAATTTTAGGCGCGTTTTTTAAATCATTACAATCATGAGCTTTAAAAAATAAAAAATTTAGAAGCATCCCAATTTGAGCCGATGCTCATCTCACGTGGCCCCAAGCGCCGTTTAGAACCCTAAACCCCATCGTCACGTGTCCACCCATCATCCTCCCGCACCTCCTCCGGCGGCCTCCAGTCGCCGCTGTCGGCTGCGCTCCACTGCTGCGCGCTGGGCCGCAGCTCGTGAACGGCGAAGCGGAACCCCAGCTGCGAGCGCGACAGCTGCAGCGCCACGCGCAGCAGGCGCCGCAGCCCCACGGGCCCAAACACCTCCAGCTGCGGGGGCCCCGCGGTCACGCGGGGCCCCTCGGCGGGGGCCTCCTCGTCCGGGGGGGCCGCCGCGTCGGCCGTCCCGAAGGCCAGCATGCTGAGCGAGCACATGAGGCCCGGCAGGCCGAACACGTGGTCGCCATGCAGGTGGGTGATGAAGATCTTGGTCACCCGGCCTGTGGTGGGGAGGACACGGATGAGGTGAAGGTGTTGGTGGTGGAGGAGGTGGTCGGGAGGACACGGAGGTAGTGGAGGTAGTGGAGGTGGTGCTGCGCTCCGAATGGACCATAATAGTGGCATCTGCTTCTCGGGGTTTGCGATGAATGGAGCACGCAAGTGCTGCTGGGCTACAGGACTCTGGCGTGGACTCACTGACGACTCAATGAGCAGCACGAGGCTGCGGTGTGACCCTGCCCACTGCCACATTCTCCAGATTATAACAGGCACCCTCTAACTTGTGCCTTACAACTCCCGCGGGCAGGGTGGAGGCTGGGATGCGTTTGATAATTCAGGGAATACAGTACGCCCATCCCGAAGTGGAGGGGCCTCCGCTAGAGGCGGCTTCGACGTTGGAGATATTTGGCCACGAATGCCATTGGCGAGAGTTTGGGGGTCATGGGGCACCAGGGAAAGCCGCCGCTGGGAACTCCGCACAGATGGATTCAACCCACACGTGTGACGTACTGCCATCCGCTGGTCGCCTCGCAGTCCAAGGAGCCTAGCAGGTGGGAAGGGCAGCACCAGACAGACTCACAGTGGCGACGTCTCCTTCACTCGCCCCTCGATGTAAGACTGCAACAGGAGGAAGACGCCTTCACTATTCTGGCAAATCGCCTGATGAAGCCGACTGCTGCTGCTGTTGTTGTAATCGCCAGCGAAACGTCACTCGAATTGTAAATGTTGTAGTGGATTCACTCTCCAACACACAAGCGGTGTGCTGCTGAGTAGCAACTCAACCACACGGTTTTGTTTACGCGACAAACCTTGCCAATTGGCTGTGTCGGGTGGTGGTGGTGGCGGCGGGTTTAAATACACATTTATATTTACGCGATAAAACACACAACACCTCTACCCCCCATTGTAGTGCACATCAACAGTCGAGGGTGCGAGACACGAGGTTTGTGTGTATCCTGTGACGTCACTGGCCCACGTGTGGAGCGCGTCATACAAGTTCATGGACACCGCCTCGTTGCTACTGTTGCAAGTCGTTGTGTGCTTGCGTTTGTTGGGGAGCGGTGGTGCAGCGGTTAGCGCTACGAACCCGGCGACCCGAGTTCGATTCCCGGTCACGGACAACACCAGTGACGATTATCTAAACCGGTCCTGGGCCTCCCCTAGGTCGACTCAGTCGCAAATGAGTAGCTGGTGTGGTGTGTAAACATCGCCACTTGTGAGACAAAGGCGGTTGGGCGTGGTGATGGCTACCCACCCTCTCGTGTGCCGTGCCGGCCTTCACAGGAGCTCCTCGTTAACAGCACTTTCCCCTGCAGTCTGTGAAGTCTACACGGGGGACCTTTGTCCCCGAGAGGGTGCTGGTCACGAAGGGCCCCCTATAGGCTCCTGCGTGAGACGCGGCCCCCCACGGACCCCCACGGACCCCCGTGCCGTACCGGGTTTGAGCGGGGAGCGCATGAGTTGTGTCTGGGTCCCCTCGCCGCAGTCGAAAAGCCACACGGAGCCGTCGGGGAGCCGCAGGGCCACGGCCGAGGTCCCGCGGCGCGGGGAAGGAAACGCGGCCCCCGTGCCCAGCGCCGTCACCTCCAGGGACATGGCGGGGTCCGATGAGCCCCCACCACCTCCACCACCACCGGCTCCACCACCACCACCGGCTCCACCACCACCACTACCCCACCTCCACCTCCGGCTCCCCCACCACCCCCACCACCTCCACCACCCGCCGAGACAGCCGCTACCAAGACCCCTTTCCCCGACTCTCTCTCTCTCTCTCTGCCGTGTCCCTCTCTCCTGCTGCGGCCTCTCTGCTTGCCCGGCCTCCCCTGTCCCCTCTCGGCCTCCGGCTCTTCTTCTGCCCGGTAACTTCCTCCTTCCCTCGGGGTCCCCTCTCTCTCTCTCTCGACCCCTGTTAGGGGGTGGGGGGCTCGGACTTGCACCTCCCGTCCCGGGGCTCCCGTGAGAACCACGTGTGCGTGCCACGTGAAACCTCTCGTCTGGCAACGATTTCTTCCACGTGGGCGGTGCCTCGGGGACTGGGCGTGGCTTGAATTAATTATCTCGGCTCCCCCCTCCCCCCGTGTGGAGTAAGTTGCCTAAGGGATCGTCCATAAATGACGTCACTCGATTTTGGACGATTTTTGATCCCCCCCCCCCTTCGTCACACGACGTCACAAAAAAATAGCCCCCCCCCTCAAATATGACGTCACAAAGCTCTGCCCCCCCCCCAAATAAAACATGCTTCAAATCGCTTTAAACTATTGTCATTGTAGTGCGTATTTAATGTGGCGCTGCACTCTGATGTTGTAGGAGAAAACATTTATTAAAAAGTCTATTTAATTAAGTAGAACGTGTTGTCTATATTTATTTAAAGTTGCGCGTTTTGATGTGACGTCACATTTCTCAACCCCCCTCCCTCGTCACACATCGTCACAGATGTCTGACCCCCCCCCCCAGGTGCGTGACGTCATTTATGGACGGCCCCTAAGTCTCTACTTGCACATTGTCCTCGAGTCGATCCACTGCTGGATGAGGACCTACCCAAGCCGTGTTGGTCGCGGGGGGTTATCTGACCATACTTCACTACGCTGGTCAATTCGGGTTGGTGAAGGTGGGGAGCACAGAAGTGCAGTATAACATTGCATTGGGAAACACTGCCCTCTGTTAGTGTGCATGTTGGAAGCCCATCCAATTACTATCCAAGCTCAAGCCTGCTGAGCGTCTTAGTTTGTGTATGTTATACAGAGCGTCCCCCCCCCCCCATTCTGCGTGCTGGGGCCTCTCTAAGGCCGTGTTGCAGCTCCATCTCCTTGGCGCAGGTTCTCAGAGGCCCTACTCTGGCTCCGTCTGTGCCGTGGAAACTCACCCAGGCCCACATTTTTTCCGGTTATTTACCCAGGAAAGCCTCACCGAGTCTCGAGAATCTGTTTAAGGACGGTGCTACATCATCTTTAACAGCAGGGGACGATGTTGCTGCTGTGTGCGATCCCAATTGCGTAATTTGCAGGTTACGTCTCTGCACTAGGTTAGCCGCATATGCGCCAAATTGCACAAACCGAACTCGCATAAAGCGAGGGGGAACCTGTACGGTTTTTTTAAGCTGAAGGAGGAAACCAGATAACCCAGAGGGAACTCGTGCAGGCAAGGGAGAGATACAAACACCACATAGTCTGTATGCTCTTCATGTGAACCCAGGAGGTGGAACCCAGGCCCCATGGACCCATGGCACCGTGCCTGCAGAGTTATTGTAAATAAAGCTGACACAGACACATTGCACAGGATATATTATACACTTTGTTTATATAGCACGCTATATTTCTTACACAGCATAGAGATAGCAGCACAGCCGTAACAAATGAGTCGGGAAGGGCGAAACGCTACATGTCCTCTTACATGGGTATAAAGTGTCTTTAAACCTCAACTAAAATGCCCTCACTATGGTCCGTATTCAGCCACGGTTTGGCTCTGGCTCGGCTCTTGCTCAAGTGAGCCAGCTTAAAGCCATGCAATTAACGGGAGTCGGCTCTGTGAGCCATGGTCCCAGCCACGGTCAAGATGTCTGTGAGCTGAGCATGAGCCAAGCGGCCGAGCCAGAGCTGAGCCGTGATGGGGCCTAAGTATTTACCGAGTGGGCTCTAATGGGGGGTGGGGGTAGTCTGTATCTGATCGCACACTAACCAAACAGCCGCAATTCGCCGTTAAGTGGCAGTGACATCACCACCCATCGCTTGTGCCAGGCGAGGTGCAATTTGAGACTACGTGATGTTGAAGAATCCCTGCTAGCAGATCACGGGACAGGCCCAGATGTTATGGGTTAATTGAGATGACTTAACAGTTGCATTAGCTGTGCTCCCCACTATCAAATTTCTGCGTTTTAGCCGCCTGATGCCACACTCACGGTTGAGAGCGTCGCTCCTCTACCCTCCATTATTGTTGGAGGGCGGCTGCCTCCAACTGCCCAATAGCGTCCTTCACGTGCCTACTCCAGAGGCCGATCTTGACACCGCTGGTACCAGTCATCGGCAAGTCCACTCAGCTCCACATTCTCTTGTACCACATGATCCAATCTCTTCTCTAGGCTGTGCAGTGGCAGGACATGGGGGCTACATGACCCGGCCAATACAGCCTCATCTGCCAGAGGAGCTCAGTGATGGGACTGTGTCCAGATCTTTCAAGGATGCGAGCTCAAACAATCCAGTCTGGTTCAATCTAGGATGGATCACAGGCAGGCCAGCCTAAATATTTCGAACTGGCACAAATGTTCCTTTAACTGTGGTTGAGAAGACCCAGAGCTTCATATTAAGTGACTGGTTAGACAGCTTCCACGTGGCCTTAGGCAGCTGATGAATAGATGCCACTCGACTGATTTGGAGACCTCTGATACCAAACTAACTAGTCATAAGCACACTACCCAGGTATAGGAACTCCTCCGTTCTTACGAGAACTACCCCCACTCATGGGGTGGAGTGTTTTTTTATTTAAAATACCCAGACAGATGCTTTGTTTTGTGGGGCTGATGGTAAGACCCCACACCTCTTAGTGGAAATCTCCAGGTTCAGCAGCAGTCTCCAACTCCTCAGAGTGAGCAGCAATTACCAGATCATCAGCATGCATAATATGGGTGACCAATGAGAAGCCGTCCCTTGACCATCGCATCGATCAGCCTCCAATTGTATCGGTATCAGAAAAAATATTCCACTGAAACAGCCATGGAAATCTTCACAAATTCCACGGTCAAAAAACCTGTCAGATAATGTAGGAGCCTGAGGACATCTTTGTTGCATCCAAAGGTGATATACTGGACATCTGTGAAAAAGAGCTTAATATCTCATTGGATTCCTCCAATCTAAATATTATGATTCTGACCTGGTCATATGAATAGGGACTGGCTCTGACTCCTGGCCAGGCAGCTTTACCCAGGCTTGTCCACCATCATGGTAATCCTTAATGATTGTGAGTAGAGAGCCAAGGACCCTTATAGCATGAAGAATAACATCACCCAAAGCCCTGGCCTATTGATGGTATCATTGGGCTTAACCAAGTCAATAAAGCAGTGATGTCAGTCCTGTTGAATTTCCTTACACCTCTCCTGTAGCAGACGGACAGAGAATGTGGGATCAGTGCAGGACCACCCCTTTCTGAAACCATATTGGGGCTCTGCAAGCCTTTCCTTAGTGTGCCTGGCAAGGCGATGCCGAATAATCCTTGCCAGGACCTTTTCCGGCACACTGAGGAGGGAGATGCCCTGATAGTTGCTACAATCAGTGTGGTCCCTCTTCCTAAAAGGGGGGACCCCACCAGGGCATCCTTCCAATTTGACTAATCACAGCTCCATTCACAAATTTTAAAATTCACTCACACACTCATACACACCCAGTTACACTCACTCTCACACACATGAATTTGGGCCACCATGCCACACGTGCTCATGTTCAGCACGAGATGAGAACTAGCACTGACTCGCCACTCGAACC